GGAGAGTGTACTTCTGTTTTACAAGCCCAACTGCACTACATTTATTTAAAATAGATAATAACATCCAATTAGACCCCAACCATTTTTGAACGCCACTCCTCATGAACATGAGCGTCACCTCTGGGTGTTTATAACCAAAACCTGGCCACACCGAAGGTTATTTCTTTGTCACTTGGCTGGTAGGAGACAGTAACAGAGGGGTAGACAGAGGACTGTTAGGAACGTCATACTTGTCTTTCCAGTGATGGTGTCCATAATGTCCACAGATGTCTTCAATTCCCGTGAGGAGATGATCCAGGAACTAAAGAAAAAAAAAGTTTATATGCTGCTGTCTTTGTGATGAACAAAAATGAAGTTTTGATCTTTTATGTACTTTAACACTCTTCCAATCATTTTTCTAATCACTTTTGTTGGCTAAGTATGTTACACACACACAAGGAATTTGAACCAAGGCAGACACACACACACCAATGGCAGCGCTATCCCTGCAGGGCGCTGCTCTGGCTATCCATAGCAAGCATTTTTATTGTTTGCCATAAAAAAAAAAAGGTTAAATTGTGAAACTAATTATTATTATTGATGGCACCTGTGTGTGAATCTCCTCATTAATTGAAGTTTTGCTCTCCTCCTTCTTCTTCACCGCAAGGAGCTCCACCAGAGGTCGGATCGTCATTCCCTGAAACACAAACGAGATCAGGTGGGTGAGTCATACTTTTCTCATGGACATAACAAAACAAGCTGTTTATCCATCTGATGAGAGTCACAAATTATATCAGGTTTGTTTAGTGTCAGTTTTAACCTGCAACACAAGAGTTGCCAGAAGAGTTCAGTAAAGGACACAGACAACTGTACATGAACCAAAATTTGCTTATTAGGAAAAATAAATTACATTTCTGGTTTCTTATTTGTACATTTTTATTAACAATGGTTGGTTTTAGATTTATATTTTGTAGATTTTGTAACCCACAAAAAATTTCCTATGACTAGAGTGGTTTTGTCTGTTTTTAGTGTATAGTGGTCATTTCTGCAGCAATCCAGCAGAGGGCAGTGGTAGCCCTTCCTAGTTAGTTAGGGGAAACCAGACCACAGCAAGCTGTGGTAGGACTCCATGCAAGTCATGACACTGCAAAAGACAAAAGATAACAAACATCTTGCTACTGAAGATTCTGCTATTCCTATTTCACATTAAGAAAAGCAACAAGTGAAACTGCAGACACTTCAGTGTACTCTTAAAATACAGATGTTTGGCTCCTCTCACCTGCACAAAGACTGTGAAGAAGATGACCGTGATGATGGCTGTGAGGAACATGTTCTTCATCTCGTTGTTGGTGAGCAGGAAGCCCAGGGAGAAGGCTATGGCACCTCGCAGGCCACCGTAAGCCACAATGAACTGGTCCTTCTTGGTCAGCTTCACAATACGGAATTTATTGATGATGTATGTGAGACCCATCACTCCTGAAACACAAACAAAGCTTATAGAACAGGAGGAGAAGAGAAAAAAAAAACAACTGCAACACTAATAATAATTTACATTGGCCTATATTTTGTATATATTTTGAGTATATAATAGATGCTGGAAACATAGATATAACACGGTTAGAATCAGTTAATATATTATTAAAAGGTGCCATCATCAATAATTACTGGTTTTCTTTGCACATTTTAACATTAACACAGTGGTGTTATTTGGCCGAGAGATGGACAGAGTTCACTGTTTTCTGTACTGACCCAACACTCTGGACACCAAACAGAGGATGACTGTGAAAATGACGAAGGTCCAGTTCCAGGCATGAGGACCGGCCACCGTGGAAACACCCAGGAAGATGAAGATGAGCGTCTCGCTCACGCTGCTCCACATCTTCAGGAAATATTTGATGGTGGTGTATGACTTGTGGGAGATGTTGGCCTCCACGTATGGCCTCATCGTCACGCCACACGCTATCAACCTGTTTGGGATGGGAAAGAAACGAGGAAGGGATTAAGACCATCTTGGTTGTTACATAAATGAGTATGTTTCACATGTGGATGTGTTGTTTTGTTTTGATTTTAATGTGAGGCTTTTCAACCAGCAGCTCAGTCCAGTCGCAGGCTACAAATTCAGACAAGCATGTGATGTGCAGTAGAGTTTTTGTAACATTAAAAAAAAAAAAAAAACAATCTCCTACTATAGGACACGACACAAACTCGGGTCAGTCTACTTACGACATGATCCCTGACAAATGGAAGACCTCTGCAGAGAGGTAGGCCATGTAGCTGTAGAGGAAGACAAACAGGGGCTCGATGACGCGAGTGTGAGAGGTGAAACGGGAAGTGAAGGCCCCCAGGATGCCATAGATGGTCCCCACCATGACGCCCCCCAAGGAAACCACAAAGAAACAGACCACACCGAGGAAGGCGTCGCCTACAGTCACAATCCCAGCGTGGGAAAACTCCTCAAACAGGTGATAGAGAACCTGGAGAGAGAGAGAGAGAGAGAGAGAAGGAAAGATCGTTAACTTGAAGATGTTGATTAGAACTTAAAAAAAAACTGTAATCCAGAGATTTTTTTTTAATAGTCTGAAAGAGACTTCTCTACAGCTAAGATACTGTATTTTCACATGAACTACTGCACTTGCTCTGGTACATCCATGATTGAAACTATTTCTCTGGCTTATCATGAATCAGAGAGAAACTGAATCCCTAATCAATTTGTTTTTATTCTTATCACCTTTATTCTATGCCTGCATTGTATTTTTCCTGCAATATGTCTGTAATCCATGTTGCAAACTTGTTTTGGAAGAGTGTCATATAAATAAATGATGACGATAATATTTTCACCGTGCAGCCTTGGTGGAGATAAGCAGTCTGAGTGCTTTCCAGTTATTAATGTATGCTGGCAATAAATGCAACTGAACCTCATTGCCAAAATGTGAAGTAGTAACAAAGCTGCCCTGCATCCTTCAGCTCTAAACCACAGAACTAATGTTTATCACCTGTATCAGCATTTTCCTCCTAACAAACCCTCAACTGAGTATAGCTTATACCACAAAAAAGCAAATCAAAGACAATCAAATCAATGTAATTATTATTCCTCATCATACTGGTGGCTGTAGAGCATCAGAGTTCAGCATCTGAAATTGAATTCCTTTAAGTGGACCCAACAGGAATGTAAACAGCCCTCTAAATAGAAACTCTCATCAAGCAGAGGCCCACACAGGGGCAGGGCTGGATGTTAAATAGCCCATTTGAGTCTTGAGTTAATGTCCAGCACTGCAATGTCTGTTTGGTTCATTCATCAAACATTTGTCTTTATATGAGTAAAACAGCTGCTGATGAACCCTGAGGACGTCATTTATATTAATGTTTAATGCACAGATCAACAGCAGGAAAACTTCAGTCATGTAATTTACTTTATGATTTTTGCTGCTGACTGCTCTCCTTTCACCAGTCTGTCACAGAGACAGCTTCAGTGTGACAGATACATCTTCCAGCCTTTTGTCCATATGCTGAATGTGGACTCCTTTTGTCTGTATCGAGAGGTTTTTAGAATGCTGATACATGTTACAAGAAGACAGCAACACTAACTCTGACAGCACATGGGAAGGTGAAGCAGGGAGGTGGGAATATTGACAGTGTAGCACAGTTTTTAATATGGACCGAGAGAGGCTACATTTAATAAAATACAAGTACAATGCAACCAGTACCCACAACTGGCAAAAACAGGATAGTGTCTTCTTCTGAAGTGTAGTGGAGTGGAAGCATAAAAAAGCAGAGCAACACAACTAAATTACTTAGCATTTGAAGGCTTGTCCAGTTCTCCCATCACTCACCACAGTGACAGCGTCATTGAGTAGCGACTCCCCGAACACGAGGATGTACAGCAGCTCGTTAATGTGGATCTCCTCGAACACAGCCAGGACGGCGACGGGGTCCACAGCTGAGATGATGGCGCCGAACAGCAGACAGGACAGCAGGTCCACATGGCCCAGCTGAGCTCCCTCGATCTGACAAACACCGTACATCATTCCGCCGATGAAGGCGGCGTTCCATAGCGTACCCACCACAGCGAACACCAGGATGGTGCCCATGTTCTCTGTGAAGGGCCGAATGGGAAGGAAGTAGCCGGCATCGAGGATGATGGGAGGCAGCAAGTAGAGGAAGAAGAGCTTGGAGTCGAGGACAGGGGCTGTCTGTTTGATGGCCTTGATGATGCCGCCTATCAGCAGACCAACGACAATCAGCAGGCAGCTCTCCAGGACAATGCTTGATACTCGGGGAATAATGTGAAAACCTGCAGAGAGATTGTTCAGAAGGGGTCACTAACCCGACTGCTGAAAATATTGTCATTACAGTAGATGAAAAATTCTAACCTTGACTTTCTACAGAAACGTATTAATAAAACCTATTAATCAAACTTCTGTTGATTTAAAATGCACATGAATTTAACAGCTACAGGATATTTACCCTGGATGTAACAATACAAATGAAAAGTGATTTGGGAAAAAAAATTATGAGCCATGTTTTCCTTTTTTTTGTCAGCAGCTCTGAACATGGAAACACAGGTCTTAGTTCTCAGTGTCTGACTCTGTTGCTTAAAATTTGCCTTTACATGTATGACACTGTCTAACTTGCATCAGACTAAACTAAGAGCAAATTTCAGACTGTAACACTTTAGGTGAGTCCATAGCTCAGCTTCTGATAGTGGGAGCCATTGAGCAGTTGCAGATTTTAGGGGCTCATACACTGAAACAGCTGAGAACTGATATCTGATCGATCAGTTTATCACCTCAGCGCTAGACAAATCTGCTCACATGTGACCTGGACATTGTTGAAGCAGCATCACTTACAGAGAACACAAGTTCAGTCAGCGTGCTGTAAATGTATGTACAGAGGGCAGTAAGCCTGACACAGCAGCTCCACCCCAGGCCTGTGTGTTAATATTATCTCTGACTGTCTGCTAAATGAGGCCTTGCCAACCAGGCTTTCTGTAGCATGATTCACACTTCTGCAACAAATGCTTCTGCAGTGCTGCGTGCAGCAAGTGGTCTTGTATGCAGCCTCCACTCTGAGTATGCACACTGGAGCCTTTGTTATTGAGGAGCACATTACGGCAAGTAGTCAGTCCGGCCCTCGGAGACAACAGCTGGATCAACAGATAAGATGCCAGGAAACTTCATTCTTTTTACTCAGCCAGTGACAAAGCAGTGGAGAGAGCCGCTCCGAGTCATCACAGCCCTGTGCTGTGACACTCAACATGGTGGGACAACAACAAGAAAGTTCTCCATTTATCAAAGTATTATTATCTGCCCTTCAACTGTCATAGTGAAGACACAGATCTCACTGTAATGAGGGCTGCAGCTGCATCTCCAACAACACAGAGGCCACGACTTTAGGGTGAGCACACAAAAAATTGTGTAAACTCTGATAAAGCGATGAAGTGACTTTAGTCAGCGTCGTTATAACGACTACAAGCTTTAAACACTTTCAGAGGCCACATTAGCTGCTACTGTCATAACACACCTGACTTTCTGACCAAACTATAACAGCTGAGTTGCACTGTGGGTAATGTAGGCACCAAGAAGAATGTGAAATAGCTCATATTTTAGGTTTTGCTGTATCAATTTTTATTAAAAACTCTCCATGATAAGCATAACGCCATGTTAAAGAGGTTTAATGCAAAATCTAAAATGATACATTTGAGCTTTTGACACATCAGGGCATTAAAAACTTTCATAACCTTCTGAGGGAGGCAAGTTGGATTAGCGGACAAAAACAAATCTGTGCTTGTTCTATTTCAGTAACACAGTGACAGCTGTTTCAGCAGCTGTAACTAATGACTAGTTTCATTAATTATTAATCAGCCACTGAATTTCTTGATAAAATGTCAAGGAAACACGTAAAAATGCTCAGCATATTTTCACAGAACCCAAAGAAATTACAAACTGCATGGATGCCAAAGTGCTGTACAGTGTAAATAAGAATATACATGAAAAATAAACGCAACTTACAAGTATAGATAAAATCAACACATGTTGCCAGACAATCAAACTCTAAACGGTCTAGAAATAGAAATATAGAAAGAAATAGTGATGATTAATGGTACACAGGGAAACCACTGAGACACGTGTGACACTCACCGAGTTTCATCAGCAGGGCCAAGAGGATCCATAACGAGATCTCAAAGGGCGTCTTGACGTGGTCGTAGTTGAAGGAGAGAACGGGGAAAGCCTTTCTATGTGTAGTGGAGCTGTTTTGGTGGTGCGGATCCCCCTGTGTCGCTCGGGCTGGGCTTCCCCACGTCTCGTTGTTTCCCGAAACAGCATCGCGGCTCGCGTGAGCAGAAACGACCAATAAAACGCACAGGAAACCGGTTAGACGCGGACCGGAGCTGCTCCAGAGCTGAGACATTTTCAGATGGTGTCACGACCGAACGGTTCCTGCACAACTTCAGCTCCTATGAAGACGGAGGTGAGGCCAGAACGGGAAGCGAATGGCGCACTTTTGTGCACAGACTCCCCGGGCATCTTAAAACCACTACAGTGTGGGGAAATTACGCATAGTTGTATCGGAACAAACGGTGTTTAGCGTTGCTGGCAAAAACAACTCCTGCCATCGGCGGGTGATGTTTTTAAAGTGTAAGCACGAGCCTTATTCTCATACTGAGACAATTTAAAGCCTTTTCTCGGTACTGTTACTCAATCGTGACTCCAAGAACTTGTCTCAAGTAGCAAAACCCTTCATACGGTTATGTCGCTCACCTACGTCTTGTTCCTGCTGTTGCCGCAGGCAGCTCATGCAGAGCTTAAACAGAGTTACAGCGACATCTACTGGAGCGGAGGACCACAACATACTGCCTCCACACCCTGTGGTAGAAATAACAATTACTCAAGTTCTGTACTTCACTAGGCTTCTAGTCTTAACATTTCCAATTTATGCTGTTATACTTCTGTTCTGCTACATTTTAAAATGGTCATTTACTAATAAAGACGCATTAGCTAGCCAACTACCTGTCACCTTGGCCAGCTATGACATTAAACTACCACTTGCATAATGAAACAGTAATAATGATTTAATCATTTATTAATAATACAGTATAACACAGGGGCCATGCTGCAAAATGAGCTCTTTTTACTTGAAACTGCACTTGTGAGTGGGACTATGATGTTAAAAGCACTATTCCTGTTGCCTTTATTGTGTCTTCTGTTTTATTGTAACATATACAATTAGTGTCTGTTTTATGTACATTTTTGGAGATTTTATCTTTACTAGGCACTATTCATCCATTGCGCTTTATCCAGCAGACGCAGTGCAACACTGTCATAGATTTGGAGTCATGTTTGTGTCCACCACATCCAGTAGGTAATCTGTTTTAGCTCTGTTGTCGGCCTCTACCAACCCCTGAGGGAAGTAGCTGGCTCTCTAGCTGCTAAACGCTCCACCACCTGGTCACTGACTGTATCTGTCTGGTATTGAGCAGGTAATGCACAGTGGCTTTTAACAACTTTTTCACTACAAACAACTGCCTGCTGCATTTGAAAATGACACAGATTAGTGCAGTGAGATTGAACCAGACATAGGCCATAAAATCAAAAGATGAGCCATGAGATGTTTAAAAGGTCATTCACTATGAGTGAACTTCATGCATTTCTACTAGTTCATATTTTATCTTTGCTTAATTTTAATTATCACAAATGGCTCAGACTTTTCAATTTTGATAGCCTGCCTACACTTTAAATAAGCCCTTGAGCAAGGCATTTTCTCACAGGTAACTCATATTGCAGACATGCTGTAGGAGTGACACTGGCAGTCACAGCTCTACCTACATCCTGAAAATGCACCCACTGCTGTGAAAATACATGTTGACTGCCTCACTCCTGTCACAGACCCTCACAGTGAAATCACTTCCATTGTTTCATTCACATATGACTCACTCCATTCAGGATGTGCAGTCGTCCAACAGCATCCGTTTCCCGGAACAGTTTTCCACATGGCTGAAGTCTGAGACACACATAGCTGCTGTGAAATCTCATTGTGAACAAGTTTGCAACCATATTCTATTCTATTCTGTTGTATATTTAAAACAGATGCTAGTAATTATTTGACTATACAGTGTCCACCTGAAAATGCTTTCATGTTAGGTTTATGCTATTTTGATTAATATACATTAATTTTAACAGTTGTGCTGTGCATCCGAGGTCTATACTAAGAGATCATGCCTTTGTAGTAAAGGGCACCATGCTGCAGAACAGCTTGCCATTGCACATCTGCCCAGCACCAACTTTGGAAATGTTTAATATAGATAAATATTTGTTTTCTTATGTTTCTGATGTTTGTTTGTCTTGTATTTGTCATTGATTATTGATTGATGTACAGCACTTTGGTCAGTCCCTGTTGTTTTAAATGTGCTTACAAATAAATTTGACTTGACATGCATCAGACCTGCTGAAACAATACCTCATACACACAGAGACTACACGGCAGATAAAGTCAGCTCATGTCTGCCAAGGTCACTTCCACATCTGCACTCTGGAAATGAGCTGCTACTTGAAATCAAAACAATTATTGATAAACATGTAAAGTGTAATATAAAGTTCTGATCAGTAAAATTAGCTTTGTCTTGGGTGTACATCAAAATGTTTTAGATAACATAAAGGTGCAATAATAATAATGTAAAGGACTTGTATTAAACCAGCATGTTTGTTGACATCAGTCTCTGACAGTGCTGAAATATTCTGGGTCTTGTGTGGTTGGTCCCATTTTGTCCTGAACTACAGCTTTGACTGTATCTCGGACCAGTGTCAGCATCACCCCTGCAGGCTCCTGAGCAGCTGTGCTCCCCTCTGCAAACATGACCTGTCCGATGAAATGCTGAAACACACCAAAGCACAACATAATGTCCCATTGTTGTTCTGTACAGCTTTTTATCATGAGTGTGTTTTAAGAGCACTTCCTAAATGGATCAGAGTTTAATGTACTTTCAGCTAAAAGGAGAGTTCTTTGGATACAAAGAGAAATGTGTATTTTTCATGCAATCACTCAGAATGATGATGCATGGTAATAATTACTTATGAAACACACATAAAAATCAAAATCCACTGACAAAACAGCAGAAGCAGCTGCATTTTTCCGCTTTACTCACTGTTTCTACTGTATCTCTGCATTTATCAGTTGGCGTGTCACCTCATTTTGTAAAATTAGGACTTTACTGTTTTTATTCAAATCAATTAATGTTCCATAATTCAAGGTGAAGAGAGGGTCAAGTCGGTGCAGGAGATGCTGTTGCAGTTCCCAGTGTTTGCCAGCAGATGTCAGTAAAGGTTTAATTATTTCTTGTCTGAAACCCGATTAAAACCACTTTGCTGAACAAGTTTCAGGTGTTTATCTTTTGTAGTCAAATTACTGAAATCTTTATAAAATCAGTGAAACCAGACATTTGTGTTAATGAGAGACCTCTTCAGTATGGACTGTAGCATCCTCGTGCTTTGGTTTGGTTCTGGATGATTCAATGTGTTTCTCCCTCTGTGCTTTGACTTCCTGTACAAAAATCAGGAAATATTAGTTTTTAAAAATCTCATATTGATTCTTTGTGATAGCAATAACAAACCGAGGTTATATCTGTGGATGTAAAATGTAAAACCTTAAGAATCTCGTAGTTTGAAGTTTTGGAAACGTAACTCTCCCATGACTTTAATGTGAGTTCCCTCTGCTTCCAGTGAGACTTCATCTGCAAAACACAGGCACCAAAAGCTAGAGTTTAGTATATGAAAACAACAGGTCTCCCATGCCCTCGTGGACTGGGTCAACATTTAATGATAATTTGCATCAACTGAAGTTTAATACAAAAGGATGAGAGAGTGCACTCTACCAAAGCTCTAAGATCTGAAAATGTTTAGAAAGATTTAATGTGCACCCGAATCCACATCTGTGTCAAAAATACTGTACTGAGAGACATTTTTTAATCAAGTTTGTTCAGTAGTTTATGAGAAAAAAGAACTCTTACATCTATACAAAAACTAATCACTTTGTAACACAAGGCAAAGAAACTACAGTTTTGTTTGTTACTAATCAAAGAAGAAAATCTTCTGATTTTCACTGACTTTGCTGACGTTTTCTGCTCTTTGTGACTTTGTTGTAGTTGTCTACTTTTAGTGCTTGTTGAATTCAACTCTGTGCACCTCAGTGTACATGAGCTCCTCCTCGCTAATGTCCTCCTTCTCCTGGTGCTCCAGGATGCTGTTTTGTTCTGCTGTGACTCTCCTCGCAGTGTCCTCTGTGATCTTACAGATGGTGCTCAGGGCCTCCTCATCAGGGCTGGCTGGCCTCACACCATCCAAACTCAGCTCCCTTGTGATCTCTTCCCACACCTCACCGACCTGCAGCAGCACGAGAGACACCTGTTTCTACTGTCTCTGTGTCTTTATTGTTTGAATCACAGGTCTTTGCTAGGTTTGATATGACACATACATCATGTCTGATAAAACTGTAGTTTTAAATGCACAATAATGAACATCCCAGTTCCATATTTAGCTCATATTAAGAGTTTGACATTGACAGCAGTTCTGTCTGGCTGTCTGACGTTATGATTCTACCTTAAAATCCAGATATCTCCTGACGATGCTCAAAGTCACATAATCTTTTGTTGACAATCCAGGAAGGTCCTGAAAACCTTAGGGTGCAAATATAACAAATAATTATATCTCACAGCATAGTTCTGGAAATTCACAATGTCTCATGAGGGACAAGTCTGACTGAAACAGTTGGCTTTAATTAACAGACTAGTAGATACAGTAGATGAGCTTGTATGTTAGTGATATAAAGGTTTTTATTCACATGGTCAGACAATATTATTTGAAAATCTTTATTTAATGCTTTCTTATATACAGTACCTCTACTATACTTCGCATTACTGCTGTTCTTCTGAGAGAAAACAGAAATGTTAAAACAGAAAGAATAATAAAGGAAACTGGATTAATGTAACCTTAAATTTCGTACACACGTCAATGGTCCCCAGAGAATGAAGCCACCTGACCTTATATGAGATTGACATTTTGGGTTTAACTGTAATGTCTTGACAACTTTTGAATATGACACTGATGTCTGCCTTAAGATAAACTGTCATCACTTCAGTCATCTGCTAACATTTCATCTAGAGCCATTACAAGGCCAAAATTTTAATTTGTTACATTTTTTTCAAAGCCTCAAAGTACAACCTCAGCTGTACTTTGTGTTCGTCACTACTTTGCAAACAAACAACAAATGAAATAAGCAAACATAAGTTTCATGGCAGTTAACTTAAAGCACTGCTCTATACAATCTGTCAGGGCAATAGACTGTATATACACACACCTATGCCTCACTGTTATATTTTCAGAAATGGACAAAGATATTAAGAGAAGGCAGGCTGTTTCACACTTGAATAATTACTTTGGCACTCACATTTGCCTATAACTATAAACCAATGCTGGTTAATAATGAGTGAGAACAGACCAAGTTCATATAAAAATCAAAGATGTTTAGTTCAAGATCTAGAGAAAAGACTGGATAAGATGCCTACAGAAGTGAAGATGGACTGGGTCATAATTAGGGTCATCTCCTGATCGGAGGGTTGGCGGATCAATACCCAGGTTCTCTAGTCTACATGCTCCTGGTGATGACAGTGGTGTGGGAATGGGTGAATGGGAAATAGTGCCAAGCACTTTGAGCGTGTATCAATGTGTAGAAATGGCTATATAAGAGCATTATACATGAAAGATTATAAATATATGTTACTAGTTTAAGCACTTTGTGTTTGATAAAGCTCAAATCACATTTCATGACCCATTAATGCAGAAAATGGGGTAATTGTAAAGAGTTCACATACTTCTTCTTGTCAGTGTATGTTTTAGGCTACACGTTATCAACATACTTTTGGATGAAAATGTATTGAAATGCTACAGTATATTTACTGTTTGGTGTGACACTGGTATTTTTGTTAGAAATTTTTTTAAACTGATTACTCATTTACCAAGTTTGCAGAAGATGGAGTAAATCTTTGACCGAAGGTTCTCAGATATCTCCAGCACCGCTGCACTTGGTATGTCGGCAGGAAATGACAGCTGGGTGTCCTCCTGTTGGTGATGAGTGAGGATGGGCCTCTGGGGATCTTAAAGTCAAAAGCAGAGAAACAAAAAAGAGAAAAAGAAAGATATGAGATACATAATGTATTTTGTGGAAAATCGCAAGGCGATCGAAGGCATTGTGACACAGTGGTTAGTGCTGCTGCCTCACAGCGCTAACAGGTTCTAAGCACACAGGTTCAAGCCCTGGCTGACCTAGTGCCTTTCTGGGTGGAGCCTGCATGTTCCCTCTGGCTTCCTCTCACAGTACAAAGACATGCATCTTAAATTGACTGATGACTAAGCTGGGATTGGCTCCAGCCTTCTGTGACCCTCTTCAGGATAAGTGATATAGAAAAAGGATTGATGGATGAAAAAACAGGGCAAAGCAGTTCTGAAAGGAGACATCTCTGGTCTATGCTGTGCTTTTAAACAACCTGTCCTGTTTATCTTTATTTGACCTGAGATGATGCAAGCTGCTCTGGATAGCAGTGACTACCAGAAACATTACATTTAAATGCGCCCTGAAGAAGAAAGAGTTCACTACTCAGTTGTCGTTATTTAAAGCCAAGCCGTTTACCTGCAATCTCTCCGTGTTGGCTGCGGCTGACTCCTAGGTCCTCCTCCTCCTCCCTCCACAGCTGCAGCAGGAGCCTGGGAGCCGTCTGGCCACCATCACCCGTCCAGCTCAGGATGTGAGACAGTGTGTTTGGGTTGTCACATAACTCCAGCAGGGTGGCAAGGATGATGCCATGCACACATCTGGGGCTCGACTGAGACAGAGACGCCCAAAACAATCTGATGTCATGAGTTTACATTTTCTGTAGGTGCATATGGACAATGACTGATAACAAATAACATACAGAGGAGCTTAAGTGTTTCATCTCATTACAAAATGGAATAATAACAACCCTTGACACTTTTTAAATCACAACAGCTTCAACTTTAGTTCAGCTACATCTTCTGAAATCAGCTACTTACACTGAGTAAGTTAAGGAGAAGAAAGGCCCCCTCTTTAGCCAAAAAGTAATCTTCTGTAGTGTAGCAGCCCACAATACAGGACCTGATGGGATACAACATACACTGATCATATATGGATGCATTTCTGCCTGTGTGTATGAAAAATTCATATAGACCAACAAATTGTTAAGCCAAAATTTGGGAAATATGCACACATTACACTGGAGCTGTGTCCAGGTTTAGGTGAATGGATTCTGAAAAGGAATGAGGCCTAACAGGCAGATCAATATACCTTTGTCTACCTGAGTCATATTGATGCAGCCAGATATAAACTGAATCTGGATATGACAAGTTTAAATGTTTGTATGTTTTATTACAATTTATAAAATTAAGTAAACGAGTCGGACCATTAATCTATGTAAGTGTGCTGAGGTTTAGCTGAACTGACCAGACGCAGTCAACTGTGGAGAGGATGAGTTTGTTGTGCCCAAGGCCGCTGTAGAACTTGTCGGCGCCTTTCTTTAGGAAGTGAACTGCCATCTCAACTCCCTCTGACCCAAACAGCTCCTGTGGCAGAACATCACAGCACTGTCAGCAGCTCAACACAGACATACTCTGTGGCAAGAGACAGGAACTGAAATTCATTTCTCTTGGAAATGTCATATTTTTTGACAAACAAAAACTTGTCTTTTGAAAGACATTTATTTAAAAGTCACATTCTTAGCCATGACGTCTGTAATTCAACTGTTACAAGTGCTTCTTTGGGGTCATAATCTCAGCTTTACCTTTCTGTGCATGTCGGTCTCACACAGCGCGGAAAGGATCAGCTGGATATCTGACTTTATCGTCAGAGTGACTACATCCTCTTCATCAGGACTCTCTTCAATTTGCATCAAAATCCCTAAGACATTACAACAATAATAAGTAGTGACAACAAACATCAAGTTCTGCTGGTATAATGCAGTCTCTGACATTTTTATTTCATTTACCCAGAAGCTGGTTGATGGCTCCTTGATCACAGATGTCCTGGTTGACTGTCTCTTCGCCTACAGACATCACAGATCGAAGTACTCTGATACAGTACCGCATCTGAGCCTTCTTACTGCCTCTGCCTCCAGTGCCATGGAAACTGTGACCCTGGCTAAAGAAAGCATCTGAAATAAAAAGAGGAAAGACAATAAATATACTTACAGACTGTGGACTAATTGGTCAGAATTTACTGAATTTACAAACAGGCTACAGTTATCATATTTAAGCAACATTACTGAAAACTAGAAAGGTTTAAATGAAGTGTGCTCATGTGGGCTGAAAACAGGGAATACTGAAAGCATGTTATAATGTCTACAAAGGAAACAAAAGCACTTAAAGCAGTAAGACACATGAATGTTGCTGTATAACCTCTCGCTCTCTTTAGTCTTATTTCTCTCTTCATTTTTTTCCTGCTTGCTCACCTTGCCCGACGCACCAGTCCAGCAAGAGCAGCAGACATGCATTTCCCTGACATGACATGTAGCTGTCCAACATGAGGGGAGCGATGGTGGCGAGGGTGGCCAGCGCCTGAAGCTGGAGCTCTTCCTGCTGTATGGAGGACCAGTGACATGAAGCTGAAGGGCGCTCAGGCAGGGTAGCAGGTGGCTTCACGAGTGTCAGCAGAGCCAGCATAACATATTCTTCTTTATACAGCTAAGAGAAGAAAACATGGAGAGAACACGCAGGGTGTCAGACTCAGCCAAATAACTCATATATTACCCAAACCACTGACTGAGTCTGTGACTGACCTGCAGGGCAGCAAAGTCCTTTGACATTACAACCAACAGATTCAACAGCAACTTCTTCATTTTCAGATCTTCACTGTTGTAGCTTAGCTTGAAATTGCGAACCAGAGGGTTGTGATTTTTCACTATAATATAAAAAGGTTGTGATCATGAAAGATGCTACTCTACTACTCATAACTTATTTAAATAAGAAACACAAACAAACATATAGTAAAAGAGTTGCCTCACACTCTGGAAATGTGATGAAAGCCATGAGCTGTTTGGCAAATAAACTCTCCTGAAAATTAGAAACACTATATCAAACTACAGCAGTACATCTGACAAATCCAATAAATGAGAACTGTGACTAAAATTAAATGCATTTCTAATTTTATCTCAATACTACCTATTTAAATGCTTGTACTCACAACAAGCAGAGAGTTGTCGTTTTCAGCGATCATCGTTGTGATCACAAGCAGATCATTTCTGAGCTGGAGGTCAGAGTGTCGAAAACCATTCATCAGCTGGTGAAAAAATGCTTCTTTCAGAGATCTAAGACACAAATGAAGAGAAAACAAGAGATCAAATATCTATTTTTACAAAATGAGAGCACAAAAGTATTCAAATACCTCTGGACTGCTTAAAAAAGCCCAGCAGAGACTGTACTTTCTATGGGTGCTCAGGAAGAACAACATCTCCCAGAGACTGCTGGTGTCCTATCGGTGTTCCATTGAGAGCATGCTTACATACTGTATATGTGTATGGTACAGCAGCAGCACAGTTGGCTCAGAGGAAAACGCTCCAGAGGGTCATTAATATGACCCAGGAGGTCGTTGGCTCCCGTCTCCTAACTCTGGAAGAACTACACAGTTCCTGCTTTCTCAAAAAAGCCCAGAACGTCATTAAGGACACTTCACACCCTGGACGTTTACTCTTTGAACTGCTGCTGTCAGGTAGACGGTTCAGAGCAATCAAATCAAGGACCACTAGATTCAGGAATAGTTTTTACCCAACAACAGTTACCACACTTAGTGGGTTACCCCCTTTAGTGGGGGGGGGGGTAATTTCATTTATATGGTTTTATTTCATATGTTATGTTTCTTTTATTGCTGCACTGACTAGAGGTTACTCTAAAATTTCGTTGTACATGTTACAATGACAATAAATGATTATCTTATCTCTGGAATTAGAAACATTTTTTAGAGGATGAATAATGGAAAGTGATTTATTCTTGATTTAGATAACTTCCTTTAGATGTTCTTTTAGGGTATTAACACTTTGTCCTCTGAAAAAGATTAAGTTGTCATTCAGATTCATTCACATTTAAAAACACCATCAAACCTCCAGAGACACATACACAACACACTCCATGCTGTTGAGCTGAGCAGTGACCTCATCCTTGATGCCTTTTTCCAGCAGGTTCCAGAGGATTTCAGAGGAGAGGAACAGGACCTGACCGGTCGGATCGGGTTCGTTCATGTGAAGACAGATTGTTTCTGCTCCCCGTGCATTCAGGATTAAAGCACAGTTGATGTCTATGGTTGTAATATTTTAAAGACAGATTAAAGATATGTGATTAATGATAAAATAACACACAAAGACAATTAAATGACTGTTTTGATTGTTTGTCTGATCAGTGCATGTCATCTGTTGAACTGACATGTCTGATAGATCCCCTCCTTCACTGCCTCAGTGGATTCATAATAAAATCAGAAACTGACCAGAGGACCTGGAGAGGATCTGAAGCGTCTGCAGGAGCTGCAGCTTGATAGCTGGCTGGTTCTCCAGGGCAGCCATGGAGAGGAGCAGAGTCTGAGCAAGGTCACTCTGCTCCAGCAGCTGTAGCCTGTAGCCCGGAGAGGTCGGCTGGAGCCCTGCAACCAAGCAGAAAGACTCACAAAATACTGCAATAAATTCACGGCTGTAGGATGACAACAATGAGAAAGAAACAGAGGGAAGATAAGAGAAAACAGAAATGTTAAAACAGAAAGAATAATAAAGGAAACTGGATTAATGTAACCTTAAATTTCGTACACACGTCAATGGTCCCCAGAGAATGAAGCCACCTGACCTTATATGAGATTGACATTTTGGGTTTAACTGTAATGTCTTGACAACTTTTGAATATGACACTGATGTCTGCCTTAAGATAAACTGTCATCACTTCAGTCATCTGCTAACATTTCATCTAGAGCCATTACAAGGCCAAAATTTTAATTTGTTACATTTTTTTCAAAGCCTCAAAGTACAACCTCAGCTGTACTTTGTGTTCGTCACTACTTTGCAAACAAACAACAAATGAAATAAGCAAACATAAGTTTCATGGCAGTTAACTTAAAGCACTGCTCTATACAATCTGTCAGGGCAATAGACTGTATATACACACACCTATGCCTCACTGTATATTTTCAGAAATGGACAAAGATATTAAGAGAAGGCAGGCTGTTTCACACTTGAATAATTACTTTGGCACTCACATTTGCCTATAACTATAAACCAATGCTGGTTAATAATGAGTGAGAAAAAAAGAAAGAGAAAACAAACTACAAAGGTAACAAATCACAAGCATGCCACCACTGAAGCCATGACAGAGCCTCACTTATTGAAAGTCTAGAAAGTCTGTTGTTAGAAGGGAAAGTCTGAGGCTCTGGCTTGGCGGTGCAGCTTGTACCGTCGAGGAGCTGTTTAGGAGCCACACAGGTGTAGAATGATTTCACAGATTCAACTATCTGCTGTCTCACTTCAGCATCTGGCACCCACATCAGACACCCTGCCAACAGAAACACAACCGTCAGTCAGTCCCCATCATCACTCCTGTCTGAAGTACCTAACAACTTATTTAAAGGAACCCAAGGGACCAAACCAGTCTGTAGAAATGTAAGGCAAAGAACAAACTGTCAAAACAGAACCTGAAGTAAAAACTGTATGACTTATAACAAGCAACAAAAGCATTAAAGATGCTGGTGTTCAGGTTGATGAATGCAGCATCAAGCATTTTATAAAAAATGTAATATGGGGGCTGTGACATGCAAACTATGAAAGCTGTGTACCCATGTGAGAGAGGAACTCTACAACGTCCTGAGCGTAGATCAACTCATCAGATGTTTTCTCCTTCAGGAAGGGGAAACTGAGATGAGGCAGAGAAATAATGTCATGAGAAAAAATAATAATTTCCTTGTTGGCTGGAAATATGTGTGTTCCTTACCTACAAATTTGAAGTGCCTCAGACATAATGGGCACATATTCAGGGTGATCCTTTGCTTTTTCAGCACAAATGTTGAGAATTTTGGCTATGCCTGTCAGGTCCTTTAACAGCTTGAAATAGTTTAAGAAGTTTTAACATTTTGGCAAAGTTTTTACTCATAAATCCCAGTGTAAGACAGGAAGTGACGGAGAAACAAGTCATCATGGTAAGTGAGGCTATTTCTGAACAGGGAAAATGCTGACACACACACACAGTGATGCAGTGGTAAATTAGAGTCTTGGGATTTATGTTTGGCTCTGTGTTTATGTTACACGAGAGCAAATCTCTTTCTACCATACCACTAGGGACCATTAATGAGGAAAATCTGCTGCAGTATGACATCTAAGAAAGATTATTTTGGAAAAGATGAATGCCTCTTCAAAAGGTAAAGTCCATTTTCTCAGAATGTGTGGAAAGGATACAAAGCCAGTTTGGCTTCTTTTCAGTATTTTGTTCAGGACAAAAAGATGCCTCTCCTTCAAGTTAGCCTTTAGTAAAAACAGAATGTACCATATGGTTACCTATAAGTTCACTTAAATAAATACATACATACATACATATATACATACATACTTTAACTTACCGTCAAAGGATCTTCAAGAAGACGGATCACCTTACTGAGGTCAAGACTTTTAGCACTGACCTGTTAAAATCATAGTTTAGGTTTTCAGCCTGTGATTATTATGACGCTGATGATAACAATACTCTAAGATAAATATTTCACAAAGTGTTATTTTATAAATGTATTGTGGTTCTGCTGAAAAAATGTTAAAACCTATTCCTTAAATATATACATACATTTCATGTCGCTTAATATTTGGTTGCATTTGTCTGTACTTTTTTTGAGTTATTGGCTTCTTTTGTGAAGCATCAAGCTTCTTGTTGCTCTTGATGGTACTTGGTAGAGATCAAAAGCGGTTTTCTGACAGAGGATTATTTTATGACATTTAGTTGAGATCAGTGCATTTTATTAACAAGCTCCTAGTTCGTTATAGAAGAGCTAAAATATAGTACATAGGATAAATATGTAATTCATAACTAACTTCCTTTTTAACCTGATATTAAATTTCCTGGGCAAAACCATTGGAGCAATTGCCAACTTGTTGTAAAACTGTCCAAACTCAGGTAGAATAAAACTAAGTAATTAGTACAAGTTTAATGCCTCTTAATGGATGGTGCAGCTGTCCTCGGGTATTGAGTTAGCTGCCACACCTGACTTCTTCTCTTCAATTTCTAAATCTTAGTGTATTGCACATATATAAATGGTGTGGGTATGAATTTAATATGTTAAAAGAACGTTGGTCTAATGTAAACAGTGTCATGATAATAGAGTAAAGTGCAAAACAACCAACTAAACAATCAGAGGAAAGAACTGTTTTACCTCCTGGTTGTTCTCTGATGCGCTTGCTCTGATTACAGGAATGTATGGTTTTCTTCTGTGCACAACTTTGCCTGAATCCATTTGCAAATGTCGAGGAACTTTCTTCCTTCAGCGTCTTACTTTAGCCGCAAAGGTAAACATTTTCGTTAGGTAACTTTAGCTAACGAGTTATAACAGATAATTCACCTGGTTTTAATGGCTCCAGTGTTTCTGCACTGTTTGTTTGCTAATGACAACGAGCTAACCCTAACAGAAACTTAACGTGAACCTAAATTGTTTTCTAAACCAAACGTTCGATAAAAAAAACATCTAAAAATAACTTTAGCTTTAATATTTAATCATCTGCCTGTCCGGTCCGTTTATGTTGCGACACTGACGGCGTACTCCTGTTACTGTGGTTACCACCAAATACGGAGAGTAGCCTAGTTCATAACTAATCCAAACGAAACGCCCATTTCCGCTTTAAAACAGGAAGTTGTATTCTTGTAACAACGGGGCATTGATTTCTCTCACAACAATAAAAGGACACGAGTTCGGCGACTAAAAACTGTATGAAAAGCCTCACATAAACGCTAGTAAACCCTGCGTTTTTAAAGTAAATACCTCAGGCAGCCATGCTGTCGGACGCAGGTTAGTATTCACGATGCGCTGCTGCTGTTGGTTTGCTACATGCTAAATGTGACAGGCTGACATTGGTTGGCTGGTTTTAAAAGACCTGCTATTGTGTGCATTTGTCACCACATTTTGTGTTTACATGCTAAATCATGTCGTGTATTAGTCGCTTTGATCAACTTGTAATTAGCTGAACATTATGTTTTACTCCATAAAGGGTCTTACCGGTCACAGCAAAGGCCTCGTTAGAAGTGACCTGCGCTTTATTACCCACACTGTTAAATCTATATCGCTGTCATTATTGTTTAGACTATTCTGGGAATGCCTCTGGTGCTCGACGAGCCAAGAAGCGGAGCTCGGGGGAGTCTACGGGGGACGGCCAGGCCCTGCGCTCCTCTGGGAGGCAGATTAACGTCCGGGTGAAGCGCACCAACAACCCTCCACCTGGACAGGTAAAACTGTTTCATGCACGCTCAGACTCCGTTCTCCTGCTGCGCACCGTAATGTCTCATATTCTTTTGATCCTCTTCAGTCCCATCTCCATCTTATCTCCCGTGTGGATCCCATTTAATATGGAGGTGAAAATTTGTAACTCATACCTCAGTCATCTTTGGCATTTCTGTACTTGAGTTTCTCATACTTCAGTGGACAACATACAGATCTGATGTGCCAACCCAACAAAGAAACTGTATTCATTGTGGATACTCATCGGATGGGTACAATGTTAACTTAAAGTAAAGATGAGTTGAGTTTAGTTTGGGAAATGACACTCTTAAAAACTCTCTTCTAGAGCAAAAGAAAAGCCACAGACACTGAGGAAGAAGACGACCAGTCTGAGAAGAAGTACAGAAAATGTGAGAAGGCTGGATGCTCAGCTACATATCCCGTTTGCTTTGCAAGTGCATCTGAAAGGTAGGGTATTTCTTTTAATACCAAAAAGGTGCTTAACTGACTTGTAGATACTGACTGATGGATGATGATTCTTTTGTCTCGACTCAGGTGTGCTAAAAATGGATACACCTCTCGCTGGTATCATCTATCATGTGGTGAACATTTTTGCAATGAATGTTTTGATCATTACTACAGAAGGTAATGTTTACAGAGCCACTGCACACGTAACCTCAATAGAGTACTTTTTTTATTTTATATTGTAAAAAACACATATGCTTCAAAGCTGAGGGAGGTCATCTAGAATCTAGCATGCCATACATCTAGAAGCATGTTCACTGTCTTTAAATTATGATGAAGTATTGTATATGCGTTCTTTTGATTTCTTATTTTCCCATGGCAGTCACAAAGATGGCTATGAGATCTTTGCTTCATGGAAGAAGGTGTGGACCAGTAATGGGAAAAGTGAGCCCAGTCTTAAAGCTTTCATGGCAGATCAGCAACTACCATACTGGGTCAGTGCAGGCAGCTTTCCTGGTTCCTGTTATACAGCTGAATGTGGTTACTGTTAAGTTTTCCATGCTGCAAATACAGTAGAGTTCACTTTTGTATGTCCCTTTCAGGTTCAGTGTACTAAACATGACTGTAGGAAGTGGCGTCAGCTGACCAAGGAGATCCAACTCACTGCTACCCTAGCAGCAACGTATCGCTGTGGAATGAAGTTTGGCAACATTAAAGTAAATGGGAGACAGAAAGACTATCCATTTATTAAGTGACATTTTCTACTCTTTTTGTGATGATAATTTTGTTTGTTTACCTACAGGGTGAGGGACTGGACCAGTGCTCCCAACCAGAGGACTTGGTAAGCTGATAATGTGTGTGGTGATCTGTTTTGGGATTCCAGCTGTTATTTCTAAATAACTGTATCCAGTATGTGTGTCATGGGAAGATACTACGGTTATTTGCATCCTGTTTAACCCCAATTCATTTTATTCTCACAGAGAGTGGCCGAGGTGACTGACAGCTGGTGGCATTCAATGCTAATTTTACCGCCTTTATTCAAAGAAAGCCCAGCCAGCCCTTTCCTTGCTGCCTACTATCCCGACTGTGTGGGAATGAGTCCATCCAGCTCCCTCAGTAATGTGTCTCCAGCTGAGCTGAGAGCAGATCACTGCAGAGCTGCACAGCCACAAAGTAAGTCTGTGAGTGCAGTAATAATTGCACAGTCCAGCAGCCAGTGCTTACTCTGTACAGTCAGAAAACAAATTTGGTCAGCCTCCCATTTAGAGATATCAATCGACACCACATAGCATTGTGGTGTATTAACCATAATTGTATCTCTCAGTTCCAGGTCTATGTCCATACTTCCAGCCCTTCTACCAGCCTAATGAGTGTGGCAAGGCTCTGTGTGTGCGGCCAGATATGATGGAGCTGGATGAGCTTTATGAGTTTCCAGAATTTTCGCGTGATCCCACCATGTATCTGGCCTTGCGTAACCTCATTCTGGCCTCCTGGCACAAGAACTGCAAGGTGCACTGCAGAAATCCACCATGTGACCTACATACATGCTGTGTTTTTTATGTTTTTAGGTTTTGGACCGGGAACAAACATTCTTTTTTTTTTTTTATACCTTTAAATATCATATTGTTTCTCTTGTGAAAATTTGAAAGTAATTAAAATATTAAATTGAGTTTTATTTCTGAAGGAGGTGCTGACTGCTCAGAAATGTGCACTACACATCATTGTCCGGGGGTTGGTGCGTGTGCGCTGCGTGCAGGAAATGGACCGGGTACTCAACTTCATGACCAGGAAGGGCCTCATCAACACCGGTGTGCTGGCAGTCACACGGCCTCTCCTCCCAGAAAGATTTCACTCTGTGAGTGTGCTCACCTTCACGTACTCATTTTGTTAAGGTTTACAGTACTCAAACATTATTTTTGCAGAAGAACGTCATCATCATTGGTGCTGGGGCTTCAGGGCTGGCTGCTGCACGGCAGCTGCAAAACTTTGGCACTCAGGTTAAAATCCATAACTTGTATCCTATTACACATGTTCTCTGAGCTTAAAATTCATTTTATTTGCTGGTCACAGAGCTGTCCCGTGACACTTGTCATCTGCATTGGTTTTCAGGTGGTGGTGCTTGAGGCAAGGGAGAGAATTGGAGGTCGGGTGTGGGATGATACTTCTCTCGGCGTCACTGTAGGTCAAGGAGCTCAAATTGTCAATGGCTGTGTAAACAACCCCATCGCCCTGATGTGTGAGCAGGTTAGGAGCAATAAAATAGTAAAGCCGAAATACTTCTGCTCTACCTTGTACAGTGCATTTAGAAAGTATTCACAGCACTCAACTTTTTCCACATTTTGTTATGTTACAGCCTTATTCCAAGATGGATTAAATTCATTATTGTTCTCAAAATTCTACAAACAATACCCCATAATGACAATGTGAAAAAAGTTTGTTTGAAATTTTTTCAAATTTATTAAAAATGAAAAACGTAAAAATCACACGTACATAAGTATTCACAGCCTTTGCCATGACACTCCAAATTGAGCTCTGGTGCATCCTGTTTCCACTGATCATCCTTGAGATGTTTCTACAACTTGTTTGGGGTCCACCTGTGAAACATTCAGTTGATTGGACATGATTTGGAAAGGCATACACCTGTTTATATAAGGTCCCACAGTTAACAGTGCATGTCAGAGCACAAACAAAAGCCATGAAGTCCAAGGAATCATCTGTAAAGCTCTGAGACAGGACTGTATCAAGGCACAGATCTGGGGAAAGGTACAGAAAAATTTCTGCAGCATTGAAGATTCCAATGAGCACAGCGGCCTCCATCATCCGTAAATGGAAAACATTTGGGCCGCCCGGGCAAACTGAGCGATCAAGAGAGAAGGGGAGGTGAACAACAACCCGATGGTCACTTTGAAAGAGCTCCAGTATTCCTCTGTGGAGAGAGGAGAACCTTCCAGAAGAACAGCCATCTCTGCAGCACTCCACCAATCAGGCCAGATGGAAACCACCCTTCAGTAACAGGCACATGGCAGCCCACCTGGAATTTGCCAAAAGGCACCTGAAGGACTCTCAGACCATGAGAAACAAAACTCTCTGGTCTGATGATACAAAAGCTTGACATCATGTCTGGAGGAGACCAGGCACCGCTCACCACCTGGCCAATACCATCCCTACAGTGAAGCATGGTGGTGGCAGCATCATGCTGTGGGAATGTTTTTCAGCGGCAGGGACTGGGAGACTAGTCAGGATCGAGGGAACGATGACTGCAGCAATATACAGGGTATGAGGTATTGTTTGTAGAATTTTGAGGAACTATGAATTTAATCCATTTTGGTATAAGGCTGTAACCTAACAAAATATGGAAAAGTTAAGCGCTGCGAATACTTTCTGGACGCACTGTAAGTGATCTTCAATCTATGATATATTTTTTATATATAATACTAGACAGCTCTGAGAATGCAAAAGAACTCACACCATTTGGCTGCATGCAAGTCCATTTTAGAGTCCGTTTTAAGTTGGTTAGTTTTATTAGTTCCATTGCCTTCAATGTCTACTCAATTCCTTGTGTTCTTGAAATACTTGGCAATAAAGTTCATGCTTATCTTGCTTATTCCAAGAGCTCAGCAGCACAGCCATGCACTTTTGACACAGTTAACAACACTTTCCAACACTCTGTGGTGAAAAAGCTTATAAAAAAATTCTTGGATCTGGATGATGATCCAGATCAGCACCAGAATCTACAGGAATGTTCCATGGGCCGTGCCCTACCTCTCCAAAAATATTCATCCAAATCCATTCATTACATTTTGAGTTAGCTGTGAACAAACCAACCAACCAACAAGCAAACAAATGCTGGTTTAAAAAAAAATTACTTCTGTCTTTTACTTCATCCGCTTAACACAGACTAGTTTGTGCTGCCCTTATATATGGGATCTAAAATGTGTTTCTTCATTCTTCTGCTGCAGATGGGCATCAAGATGCACAAGTTGGGAGAGCGGTGTGACCTCTTTCAGGAGGGAGGACAAGTTACTGACCCAGCCATTGACAAGCGCATGGACTTCCACTTTAACGCCATCCTGGATGTGGTGTCGGAATGGAGGAAGGACAAGTCCCAGAACCAGGACACACCACTGGGAGGTGCTGAATTGTGATTGTTTTAATCTAAAGTGTAAGGTTCACTGAGGTTTAATAAAGCCACAGCATTGATAGCTGTCATTATACACCAACAACAACTCTGGTGCATTACATTTGGACCATGATCTGATCAGATGTTTCTTCTTGCAGCAGTGATGGTAGACATTCCCATATCTGACCTTACCTGGAATTATTTACTGTGTGGTCAGGATAATTAACTCTACATTTAAATTTCAAATGTCATGGCTTTGATATCTGCAAAAAAGAGCATGTTGCAGGACTGGGGAGTTTACTGGTGTAAATATGTACAATGCAATGTTATAAAATTAAAACAGAAGTAGAGAGAATTTAGACAGGTTAGAAACATTTGTCATGTATTTGTATGCATTTTATCTCTACAGAGAAAGTACAGGAAGTGAAGAAGAACTTTCTTCATGAGTCTGGGATCCAGTTTAGTGAGTTAGAGGAGAAAGTACTTCAGTTTCATCTCAGCAACCTGGAGTTTGCCTGTGGAAGCACATTAGACCAGGTCTGATACTCAGAACATGAAAGGACTGCATGATTGTTCTCCTGTGTGTAGGTGTGCTTTGAATAATTCCTGTTTGAGGGTTGGTGTAATCACAAAGTCTTTGCCACCAGATTTATAGGTGATGTGACTGACAGAAAGTTCAGGCTGGTTTATTGTTAAGAAATCTGTGGACCAGGAAAGCTTTCATTCTGGTGATGTGTGCATCCTCCACATTTTGTAATGATTCGTTTGTCCGGGTTTTTATGTATTTAACGGAACTGTGATGAAAATGTTCTCAAGTATATTCATTTATTTTTGTTTGTAGGTGTCAGCAAGGTCCTGGGACCACAATGAGTTTTTTGCCCAGTTCTCAGGAGATCACACTTTACTCACCAAGGGCTACTCTGTTTTACTCCACAAACTTGCCGAGGGCCTTGACATCCGCACAAAGTGTCAGGTTTGTTTTGAATTTTTTTTTATTTCAAATATGACCTTGTTATTCCCTACATTGGAATATTCCCTAAGTTGTTGGTGCATCTCACTGTGTGTACCCCCCCCCCCCCCCACCCACCCC